AAAGTAATAATTTTCTGCCATCGAACTCAGATTTGAAAGGAAAGAATAAAGTGAAATGAAACAAAGCTGGGAAGAACAAAGGCATACATACATCATCTAGCCCAGACCCCACTGCAAAAAAATAATGTGGCAATTTAAATTAAATTATAATTAATAGCAGCAGTTTTGTTGGAGTGTCTTCAAACGATCACTTTAAGATGCTGGAGCTCCAGTGGTTTCCATGGCGATATTTTCTCGAGGAGATGTCAGCTCCTATCTAATTTTTTTTGTCCCTGACATATGACAACCTAAAGCTTTTAGTGCCTTTTATTCTGGCGGCTTTTATGTTAGATAATCTCAATTTATTTTTATGTGCATTTAAATGTGTGTCTTATTTACATGTGGTTTCTGAGCTTAAAGTCTGCCACTTGATGTATTTCGAAACGTAGACATTAATAACCACAACGGCCTCGTTTATCTTCTGTATTTTAAAAAAAAAAAGGCTTTATTATTCCATCTTCTCCCTACCTGCTGAGTGGGACCAGAAAAAAATGGGAGGCTAGATTAGGATTCAAATCTCAGGGGCAGGTGCCATGTCCGGCCGAGAAGGTGGCAAGAAGCAGCTCCGGAAACAACCCAAGAGGCAGCCATGGAGATGGACGAAGGGGATAGGCCCTCAAGCAGAAGAAACCTGGAACAATGGTGAGCGCGAATTCCACTCCTGTTTCAACATCTGGATTCCTGCCATAACATCTGTTGCCACCTACAGCTAGAACCCAGTGTCGTCTTGGAGACTGTTGTACCTTTAAGAAGAAGCTTTTTTGAAAAATAGTGATGCAGTGACTCGTCTCTTTAGTTCTTCTCACCCAGCCATGCCAACCTTAGCGGGACGGGCAGAGTAAACCCAACCCGGAATCCTGCCACAGTGTGCTGCTGTTCAGCCTTTGTTCGATCCCGAATTCTGTACCACCTAGAATTAAATCCACTCATTTGAAAAAAATTTTTAAAAAAAGAATTCAGATCTCTTTTTAATACTCCGTTCTTAAACTGTCTTTTAAATCAGTTTATTGTACTTCAGTACCTACCTTGAAATTTCTGTTAGTTTTTCACATTCTGTAAATGCAATCAAAAATTACCTTCCGACAGTAATGTCTTAAAGCACGATTTGCACTATTCACGATGCCACGTGTGTTTCTAAAGCGGTGAAGACCATTCTCCCTGTGTTGATTAGGCCCCTGAGGGATTCATATCTGGAACCAGGGGTATTGGGTTCAGAGTTCTTAGTTTACCGCATGGTTCCACTGATACTGTCGTCATGTGGGATTATCCTTTGTCAGATAAAACGTCTCTTCGTGCTCAGCTTTTGACAAGCGCATTCAGAGGCCTTTAGATATGATCGGCCTCCCCAGACGGCCCACCAACCAGAGAGAAACAATCGGGCTAATCTCGTTGGTTGCTTTAAGAGACAGTGGGGACTTCTCATCAGAGACAGTTCCACTTAGCCTTTTGCAAGGTGGTTTCTGGAGCCAAATAATTCCTGGTTCCAACCCTGGCTCCACCACTTCCTGGCCGTGGGGCCTCAGACAAGGTCTTAGCTTCCTAAGTGGGATGGCGTTGCCTACCTCACACGGCTCACAGGTCAATGGAGTGCGTCTGCTCATGAAGAGGACTCAGAACAGGGCCTGCCTTGGAGGAAGTGCTGTTATTAATAGTTCCTCAACAGCTTGTCCCTGACTTGACTTTGTGTACCCCAAAGTAGAAGGAAACACATTCGGCTGATTCCACCATGTCTAACCACTCACTATCCTGGGCCCGAGTTAGTTTTATATGTGAGGGAAGTGTCCAAATAACGACTAATTTCACGTAACCCAGAATTTAGAGCTTTGCTATTTGTCACATATATACAACCTACGTGGTCGTTGGGGGCCTTGGTTGTGTAACGTCTCCCTCTCTGGGAAGGTGGGGTTCAGAACTTGTCCCTGGCACTCAGCAGCCCCAGCTGCCAAGGGAAGGACACAGGGTGTGTGGCCCCTGTCCAGCACTCAGACTGAAGAGTGCTGATCGGAGACTGTGAATGTCTAACACCTATTTTGGTACTCAGGATGTTTCCCAAAATATAGGCTCCTTGATACTCCAGCGCCTCTAAAATTGCTCTGCTCTCCTAGCGAATCTGGGGTAGGGGGTGGGGCACGTATGTTACCAGAACGGAGTCCGTGTCGTGGATGAGGTTTGTGGTCTGGTTCTCAGGCATGTCTCTTGGTGTATCGCCGCTGGCAAGAGGCCCAGACACGTACACTCAGGTGCCTGAGGATAGTTTCAGGGAAGAGGTGAGATTTGATGGACAGAGAGAGGAAAGGCAAACCAGATGTCCGGAAGATTACTGACTTGGGAATCAACCCTCCCTGGGTTCTGATCCCAAGCTTGGTGACTTTTTAGAAGGACATGGACTACAGAGTATGCAGAAAAGCGTAATTACAACATCAAAAGGCCTGGAAACTGTGCCAAAGGTGGGCAGTGAAGGCATAAGTTTTCACCCTTGAAAAGCAGCTTTGAAGGGTGGCTTAGGGATCATGCACGTTCATAACGGACTCACTGTTTCTGCTGAGTGCGTGAGTTACTCCGTGGTATCTACACAGCAATTTCAGACAGTCCGCTGTAGGTGGGTCAGGCCATGACTAAAACTGTATCCGTGCTTCAGATCAGCGTTTGGACTACGTAAACCAAAGTCTTCATGGAGGCGTGGAAAGTTCCCATCACTAACAATTTTTTGTCTGTTTTATTGTCCACTGTGTATTTCCAGCACTTAGATGCCTGGCACATATAGTAGGCACTCTACAAAGATTTGTTGAATGAATGAATGAGTGAATTTGTTTGTCACATCTACTAAAAATACTTCTCTGAAGAGAAAAGTCAGGTTTAAAGAAGAAAGTCGAGGTTCCTAAAAATACGTTATGATTTTATGTAAACTAGTTTTACTCCTACAGGGACAGTTTTATGATCAATCTATTATAATATTGTGTGATCAGCCTATAAACGCGAGAGCATTGCATTCTTGGGCCGACACTTGGAATTTTGAATATCAATCCATACTGTCCATCCTGACAGGGCCTGGGGCAGTGAGCTAGTGGGAGAGGAGCTAACGGCACTGTGCTTGGCTCTGGGTCTGCCCATTTCCTTACGTGTCTCAGTAGATTGAGGACTGGACCAGCTAAAATACGCAAATATCACCGAAATGTCTCTTCCACATTCACCAGTTCAAGATTTAAGGGAGTCTGAAAAGTCCAGGGACTCAATTTAAGCTCCCGTCCATGTATACCTTTCCTAGCGCCTGTGGTTTTAATCAGGTCTCAGGTGTGAATGGTACCGATGGTTGAGCTTATGTAGAATAGGATACCTCTAGGGAAGAAGAAATTTCCTGGTCCCAAGCAAGAATACCAAGTCTAAGAGAGAAGGGATTACATAGCGTGTGCTGGTAGAATGTGAAGCCACCCATTGCGGGGGTGGGGGTGGGGTGGGGTTGCCATATTCCCTGGGGAAAAGGAGGGGACAGGGCCCTGCCTACTTTTGGTCGTTAGTCTGGGGATTCTTAGAAGTCTATAGCCCCGGGAATCCATCAGCCTTAGAAAAACTGAGTTCTTTAGTGAGATTCTCCCTGAATCATAACACAAACCTATTTCCTGAGCGTGTACACATTTAGTCATGCCAAATAATACAAAATAAAAAATAAAACTTTTTATATTTAATTGGTGCCATCCAGTAGCCATGCTTCCGATTAGACTAAGGCATCTGCTGTGGGAGGCGCTGCTTCCAATTGGAAGATTTACCTTGAACCTTAATTTCCCAAACAGAAGCCCAACAAATGTGAAATCATTTTTGAAGCTGAGCCAGCTTATGTGGATGGTAATAGATGCTCTCCTGACCTATGGAAAGACTTGAGGCTCTGTTTGCCCTGTATCTGCTTGAAATTTCTTTTATCTTAGAGACACATCTAAATTTAATGCAACTGATTCTTTTTTTTTTAAGATTTTTTTAATTGGGGAATTGGGGGATGGGAACAGACAAGTTGCTGTCCTTTTGTTCTTCAGTCTAGTTGTAGAGGACGTTGCTTCACTGGCCCAAGTTGGCACCATCATTGCGCTCTTCCCGGGCGAGGCAGATCAGTCGCCGGCTTCTGGACGGCCGCTCACTGCGGCTGCTGGCCGCTCACGCTGGCTGCTGGCTACACACAGTAGCCCATGGCAACCCACTGCAGCAGGGGCTGCAGCCTACGCCATCGCCATCGCTGGCAACCCATGGCAGCCCAGCTCCAGGTTGAGCTGTTGTTCAGCATCTTAGCTGTAGAGGGCAGTGTCACTGTCCCTCACATGTGGGATCTGAACCGGGGCCCGCTGGCATCCCAAGCCAGCTCCTAACCAATGAGCCACTCAGCTGGCCATGGTTCTTATTTTTTATAATAGGGAAAGAAATAGAATACTTATTAGGCCATTAATATTCTCCTCAACTGTTATGAAATATTACCCTCTTATACACTCTCAAAATGTCCAGTGTTCTATTAGAGCCGTGTAAAATATGAATGTGAAGAGATGATTGCTTTTTAAACGAATGCAGTAAGCTGTGAAAAGCTCATCTATAAGTATATCCAGTGCCACCAGTTAGGAGTGGGATAAAAATGGATGGGAGGCAGCTTTCAGGCAAACTTAAGGAAAAGTATTGTGTAATACATAGGCTTGCCTGTCAGTGGGACCAGAGCAGGTGCTCAGGTGGTTTTTTATTTTCTCATATTCCTCCAAAGCAGGTACAGTGCTTGTCTGGGCCTTGTGCAAAGGAGAACAGCAGGGCAGGGGTAGGTGTGGCCATGATTCTCACGGGACCCGATAGCAAGGTGGCTCCATCTCAAATGGAGATCTCAGTGGGGGAAACAGGAAGTAATGATGAGTTATGTGAAAGGAGAGGTATCCAGTTATCTGGGATTAGTGGGATACTCGACTCTCACACTTGCCTTTTCACTTCCTTCTCTACAGCCAGTGCTGATTTCCCATATAACCCAGGACAAGGCCAAGCTATAAGAAATGGAGTCAACAGAAACTCGGCTATCATTGGAGGTAGGTGCAAAATAGGCTTTCGTGTGGCTACTCCCCTGTGGAAAGTAGATAGGGGAGAAAAGAGTTGTCTAGATTTTTACTTTATTCATTTTGCTATTTAAATATCACTTCAGATTGCCAAGTACAGGTATGGAGAAACTGTGATAAATGTAACTTGGCTACTTTTTAATGCAGACTTTAAAAAAAAAAAACAATGGTAGTGGTGAGGTAGGCAGCATCCAAATACGCGAGCAGGTAACCTGTGGCAATGCCAGGCCATTTCTTTATCCACTCCTATCTTTTCTTCCTCTCGTCCTCTCACATCCCAAATGGTCCAGGATAGCTTCCTACAAAAACGGAAAGGACTGTGCCAGTCTGGTTTCAGAATACCCGGTATCTAAGATATCCTCGTCTTTTCTCCCCGTGGACACTGCAGAGTAACTAGACCCCCTGGTATATACGGCCCCTCGTAGTTGGACCCATATCAATCATCCTGCTGCCCTTCCGTCTTATTTCATAAAGGTGTTTCCTTTTTCTCTGAGTCTAGCTAATACTGTAAACATATTAAGGATGTTAAACTCAGCCAGTCAACTTGGCCCGGGCAACAGGTTTCTTTTCCACAGGAAGAAGGCAGACGCCTCTGAGAAACATACGCGTGCGTGTGTGACTATAAAATTAGATGACATTCAGAATGCTGCTTGCATCACATTGTCCAAAGTTCTGCTATAAAGCTTGTCTTCGTTGTTTTTTTGCTTTCTAAAGATCAGCTTCATTTAAGTGTAATATGCACTCATTTCAGCGTCACAGGTCAGTGACCTTGGACGCTCGCGCACCCATAACCACCACCACAATGAAGATAAAAGACATTTTCATCCACAAAAAGCTCCCCTGTGCCTCTTCGTTCCATCCTTCCCCCTGCCCCACTCCCAGCCAAGAGGCCGCCCCTGATCTGCTGCTTCTCACATAGATTACTTTTGCCTCTTTTAGAGTTTCCTATAAATGGGATCACATAGCATGTGCCTTACTCCTTTCACCCAACCTAACATTTTTGAGAACTATCCACATTGTTGCATGTATCAATAGTCCATGTATTTTTATTGCCATGTTGTATTCCATTGTATGAATGTACTATAATTTCTTACCTGTCGAGAGATGTTTGGTTTGTTTCCAGTTTGGGGCTATTTTGAATAAAGCTGCTGTGACTATTCTTGTACAAGTCTTGTATGAACATGTTTTCATTTCTCTTTGGTAATTCCTAGGAGCGAGATTGCTAGGTGTAGAGAAAGTGGATATTTAACTTTATAAGAAATGGCCCTACACTTTTCCGAAATGATTGAACCATTTTACATTCCCATAATCAATATCTGAGAGGTCAAGGCGCTCCACAGTCTCAGCGGCACTTGGTATTGTCAACCTTCTTAATTTTAGCCACTCCAGTGGATGAGTCGTGGTATCTCATTGTGGTTTTAATGTGCAGTTATTTAGTGACTAGACTGTTGAGCATCTTTTCATGTGCATCCTGCCATTTGTAAATCTTTTGTGAGGTGGCTGCCTAAATTGTTGCCATCTTTTAATTGGATTGTTTGACTTCTTGTTATTAAGTTGTAAAAGTTCTTTTTATGTTCTGGATATAAGTCCTTTGTTGGACATATGTATTTTGAATACTTTTTCTCTGTCTGTGACTTGCCTTTCTATTTTCTTACTGATATTTTTTTTTTGAAAAGCAGATGTCAACTTTGATAAAGTCCAATTTTTCTAATCTTTTCATAGTTTTGTGATTTTTTTTTAAATCCTAACTAAAAAATCTGCCTATCCCAAGGTTGTGAAGATTTTCTGCTAGGTTTTGTAGCTTTAGTTTTTATTATTAAGTCTGTAATCACTTTGAGTTAATCTTTGTATACAGTGTGAGATAAAGGTCAGAGTCATCATTTTCCAATGAATGTCTCATTATTCCAAGACCACTTGTTGAAAAGATTATATTTTCCTCAAAAATAATTTCCTTGGCACTTTTTGGCAAAAATCAATAGACCATATATACGTGTATGTCTGTTTTCTGGGCTCTATTCTGTTCTTTTGATCTATAGATCTTTCCTTAGCCAATACCATGCTTATTTTATTGTTGTGTCTTTGCAGTAAGTCTTGAAATAAGCTGTATAAGTTCTCCAATTCTTTTGTTTGTTTTTCAAAATTATTCTGGCTACTCTGGGTCCTTTGCATTGCCATATAAAAATTAGAATCAGCTTACAAATTTCTACCAAAAAAATGTTTGTGATTTTCGTTAGGATTGCATTAGATCTATAAATGAACATCTTAACAATATTGACCTTAAACATGGTATATTCATCCATTTATTTAGGTCTTCTTTAATTTCTCTCAAAGATTTTACAGGTTTTGGAGCCTAGTCTTGAACAACTGTATTCAATTTGTTCTGTTACAAATGGTTTTAATTTGTTACTTTCATTTTCAAGTGTTTCTTGCTAGTATAAAAAATACAATTGATTTTTATATATTTGTATTCTGTGATCTTGTTAAATTTATTGTTTGTTCTGGGATATATATATATATATATATATATATATATATATCTCGTTTAGAATTTTCTACATAGACAATCATGTCATCTGAGAATAAGAGTTTTTACTTCTTCCCAATCTGCACACTTTTTTTTTCTTGTTTTATTGCACTGGCTAGGACTTCCAGTATAATTGTGAATAAAAGTGTCAAGAGCTGACATGCTTGCATTGTTCCCTGTTTTAGGGAGAATGTGTTTAATCTTTCAACATTAAGTAGTATAGGTTTTTCATAGACCTTTGTCAGGTTGGGATAGTTTCCTTCTATTGATAGTTTCCTGAGAGGCATTACGATAGATGGTGTTGAAGTTTGTTGCTTTTTCTGCATCTATTGAGGTGATCATATGGTTTTTCATTTTTATTTGCTTAATGTAGTTAAATTACAGTGCTTTATTTTTTAATGTTAAACCAATCTTGCATTCCTAGAATTAACACGACTTAATCATAATATATTCTTTTTAAAATATTGCTGGGTTTGATTTGCTAAATTTTATTAAAAAGGAATATTGCTCAATAGTTTTCTTTTTTGTAATGTGTTTATCTGGTTTTAGTATTAGGATACTACTGGCCTCATAAAATGAGATGAGTAGTATTTCCTCCCTCTCTATTTGAAGAAAGGTATGTAGGATTAGTATTACTTCCTTAGGTCAAGTGTGTGTCAATACTGTTTTTGAGGTCTTCTAAATTCTTACTGATTTTCTGTTTAATTGTTCTATCAATCAGTGAGAGAAGAGTGTTGAAATCTCCAAGTATAACTGTGACTTGTCTGATTCTCCTTCTACTTCTATTAGTTTTTGTAGTTGTTGTTGATGTTTCGGAGTTTTGTGTTTCATATGGGAGAGGGTAGTGCTGGAGGGAACCATGGTGAAGTGAGAGAGAAAAGTGTACAAGGGACATGTGAGGTTTGTTTAACCCCTAGCACCTCTCCTGTCTCCTGCAGGGGTCATCGCCGTGGTGATTTTCACCATTCTCTGCACCTTGGTCTTCCTCATTCGGTACATGTTCCGTCACAAGGGCACCTACCACACCAACGAAGCAAAGGGAGCAGAGTCGGCAGAGAGCGCAGACGCTGCCATCATGAACAACGACCCCAACTTCACAGAGACCATTGATGAAAGCAAGAAGGAATGGCTCATCTGAGGGGTGGCGATTTGGCGATGGGCTAGGGAGGGGGAAGTTATCAGGGGGAAGGGAAAGGCACGAAAGCACCCTGCTTCATACTCTTGAGCACATCCTTAAAATATCAGCACAAGTTGGGGGAGGCAAGCAACAGATTATTGAGACTGATCACCACAAAAAAAATACTTTTTAATATTTCTTTATAGCTGAGTTTCCCCTTCTGTATCAAAACAAAACAATACAAAAAAATGCTTTTAGAGTTTAAGCAATGATTGAAATTTGTAGGTAATACCTGTCATATTTTGTGTGTGTTTAGAGGTGTTCTAAAAACCCATGGTAACAGGGCAAGTTTTCTACATTTTTCAGAGCCCTTAGAATGTGGATATTTTTTCTTGAGAAAAGCTGATGCACATACGTATGGCCTCCAGCATTCTCTTCCTTTTACATAGAGTCAACTTTTAATGGGCTATTGTAGTTACTAGGTCATGTTCATGTAATGTTTCTTTTAGTGTCCTATAAGTTGGAGAAGGAAAGAATGGGGAAAAGAAGACCTGTTATTTGCCAGTTTTCAAAGAGACCACAATCTATGCCAATTTTCTGAGAGTTTCTGCCTGAAGCAATTGAAGGCGCCTTTTGAGTGACAACGAACGTAAGCAGCACAACGGAGAAGACTTACAGCCAGGGCGAGTAGTTCCATATCGGGACCGTTGGTTTTATTTGTCATCGAACTCTATCAGATTATATTGTTCCATGTGTGTAGTCTTAGACCTTTTTGATATCTGTAACATCCGTGGTGACGAAAGATTAACTAGCAGCTGTTACGAAAGATTTTTCCTTTCCTTTGCCTGAAACCTACGGTTACCTTTTATATGTGTGTGTAAGTACCAGATGTTACGATTTCTTTGCTGTTTCTTTTATAGTTGTAGCAAGAGTATGGACACTTTCTAATGACTGCATCCTTTAGGTTGTTCTTATTTTGCTTTAAATCTCTGGTTTTTAAGCCCCTGTGACAAAATCCTAGCAGACAGTATCCTCTAAATGGACACATCACAATAAAGCCACATGATGGTTGCTGTTACTCTTTCTATTACTCTGGAATCATATGGAAAGCACTGCCATGTTTTAAATCACCTACTCCATGTATTGTTCCATTCAAAAGTGATACGCTGCCGTGGTTCAGGGATCTTCTTCGGCAGATACATTTGAACCTCAAGCTCATCACACACCTGGCACCTGATTGTTGCTTCTCAGAGAATGGACATGTCTAGGCAATCAGACCTCAGTTTAATCAGGAACCTCGACCAACTGATAACTCATCGATTTTATCTAAAAATAATAGATGGTATGTGTAAACCACTGGGACAAAGCTCAGATTGGACCATCCAAAAAATAATTTCAGTTATTTATTACAAGATTACACAAAAATTATTTCTATGATCATTTCTTATGATCATTATAGTTCAGGATCTTAATAAATACTTTAAAAAATTTTTTTAGATTCTAATAACATTTCGAGGAATTAAATATGATCACCTTTTTCCTTCTCCTGCTAAATAAGATGAGGTTTAAAAAGTATTGATGGTATTTTCTGATAGCCTGTCTCAATAAAATGGAAATTCTAGTTTGTTTGGGTTATGTATACATACTTTTCAAGATACTTGATATATGCCTAACTTACTGGAGGATCTCAATTTCTTGAGTAGGGAAAATGTTACCCCGCCAGAGCTGCTGGTGGCCCATGGTGCATTCCAAAGGAGACACTGGACCAGTAAACCCAGTCAAGTCAAGGTAACAGAGCAGAAGGGAAGCCGAACTCCCTTTTCCAGGTACTGGCCCCACGCACTGTCATGAGCACCCTTACCTTACCGCGGTCTTGATCACTCTCCCATAAAACACATTAAAGATGAAAAGTATTTAATCTGATGAAATATAGAACACGGTAACATTTACAGATGACATCTTGAAAACAAAGGCTGCTTATGTCACCAAGATGACTACCATGTGGGGTTCTTTGATGTACTGTCAAGTTGAAAAGGCAAATTTTAAACATTGTGACGGCCCTATCTAGAACATTCTAAATGGTAAATAGTTTGTGTATGTGAAGGAAAGAAAGCAACTCTTTTCCAGTTCCCTCCCTTGAAGGTTTAGGGCAACACAGCCTAGATAGTCGTGACATGAAGACCCACGCTCAGTGCCTCGTCTTGATCTGTCAGTCATCGTCCACCAACCCTTCACATCTCATTTCCCAGTGCATTGTCAGTCGAGCACAAATAGGCCAGTGGTAGCGTCTTTGCATAATAGGAACAGACAAAAGAAAAACAAAATCGATTTTTAAAGCGAGAAGCTGTTTTAAAGTTCCAGGGAAAGTTGATGGCTGGTTTAGGGTTATTTGTGCAGGAGACATCCTGTGTGTATAAAGCAGGCACCTATGAGAAGCTAGGAGTAGGGGACTTAGGACGAACGTGCAATCAGTGCCCTTCTGAGCTCGCAAAAGAACACACTCCCCAGGGCGCGAGGAAGCTGGCTGCAGAGCTGAGGTGTGGCACTGCTGTTAAGCTCTGCTCTGGCCCTCCTTGCTATAGCAGATGCCATTAGGTTGTCGGAAAAGTCATGATTCATTTTTGCCACGAAAAACATAGAAAAAGATACATCATGACTTTTCCGACAGCCCAATATTTCCCCTTCGTGGCTTTCAACCAGCTGCTCAAAAAAAGAGAGAGAGCCTTACATGGAGTTTTTATTGCAGAGCTGGGAAGAAGTGTTTGGAGTGCCTTCGCTGGCCAATGTGCTGTTGCCCTATGTCATAAACAAGCTCCCTTTACTAACCGGAGCAGGTTCCGAGCGCAGGAGAAGCGCTGGCAGGAGCCAAAGAGGAGGTCTTCAGGTACTGCCGAGCTGGGACCAAGACACGAGGCAGGCCCCAGAAAGCACGGGAGGGCAAGCGAACAGCTCCCGGGTGTGAAAGCCTAGTGTCAGCGTAGTGTCTGGAGGAAGCTTATTTCCTTCTGTAATGGGCTCTTTTTCCCCCTCGCCCTTCGCTTAACAGTGTAAACATATGAATGGTTGTCGCTTTATGTCTCCCGCCTGCAAACGATGGGCAGCCGAGTTGAGCCTCTTCATAGCTTCTTCCCCCTCTTCCTATCAAGCAGTTTTCAAAAAGAAAGGCAGCAAATTATCAAATTGAATCATCAAAATGAATTCCAGTGAGCTCGCCAAACAGAGGTCCTAACTTGCCAAGCCCAGTAGAGCCACCTGACCCGGAAATAGGTGCCAGACAGTAACAGCATGTGTAGCTGAAGGGGGCTGAAAACCAACGCGCATCATTTTTAAATGACATTTGGGGGTGGGGGGACCCTGAGAATCAGCTGCTCGGGTCCTAAGCCTTTCTCCCTCTGCCTGCCTTGTTACGTCACCTCCCTCAAGTCACTGAACCTCTGTCTGTCTTTCTTTGCCTCATATTTAAAGTTAGAGCTGTTTTATAAGACAACTGTGAGGTGCTGATTCTTCTCTGTAGCATACTTCGAAAACCAAATACAAAGGCCAAAGTCAGTGGAGCCTACTGGCAAGCTTCCCTTCTGGCTTGTGGTTGTCACATCAGAAGAGAACACGTGGTCACGTCCAGGAACGTGGAGACTTACAGGGCATTGCTGTACCTCAGCTAAATTATGCATTGGGTAGACTGCCAGGGAGTTAGCCTCTCAGCCCTGGGGGAGGTGACACAGCCAACAGCCAGAAAAATCAGAACCCCATGTGCATAGAAGCCCCACGTTCCCACTGGGTATAGCTTACACCCACCCTCAGTGCAATCAAACTGGCTTTAAACTAAGATAACACACAGAAAAAGGTGACTTTTCCGCATAGCCTGCCGGCTCTGCATGACGATGTTGGCGACATTAGAGCAGGTTTCTGTCCCAGCAGCGTTTTGTGGATACAAATGGTATGTAAAACCCATTGTCAGGGAAAGCGTGTTCTCAAGCTGATCGTCTCCTATTGGGCAGAAGGTGGTAAGGATTTAGGGCTACAGAGGTACCGATGTCTGACGTGCATTGACAAGTTTGCTTCCCAGATGAAAAGGTGCTTTAAGAATAGGTCTGCTTAGGGCCGGCCGAGTGGCTCAGTTGGTTAAGAGCTCGCTCAAGAGTTTGAGCTCTGAGCAACAGCAGTTCGAGTCCAGCCCGAGCTGAGCAGCTGCTGAGCTGCCAACAGGTAGCAGGATGGCTCAGCTAATAAAAAATAAAAATAAAAAAGAATAGTCTGCTTAGATGGTCTGCACCATTTCCAAGCCTCAGTTTATTGACAGCGAATGCTGGCTTCTGAGATGGCCATCAAACATGGAGGCCCTTCTCAGATAGGCCATGCTGCAGGTCTAAGTGTTGCTGAGTCTGAGCTTTGCTTCGTCGGGTTTTTCATTTTTTTCAGTGAGCATGGTGACGGCGGAGGTTAGAGGTGTGAAAAGTTGGGCTAAATATTCTTTCTGTAAAGTCAAATCAGGGTTCCATCCCTGGGAAATAACACAAAATTTCACTCTCTAAAAGCAACAGCATGTAATCTAGAATGAAAGAAGGAAATTATGTATGTATGCCTACTATTATTTGTGAATGTCTTTCATTTAACTAAAATTATATTAGAAACCAGATTGATAAAAATAAAAAAATCCAAAATAGTTTTAATTATCCTAAAAGCGATTGTTTGTGTTTTGTTCCACTTGGTTCTCTTAGAAGCAATTTGCAACCTTCGGCAAAGAAAGCTCCAAGCCCTGAAGTATCCATCTCTTGGGAATATAATCTTTGCAAAAGCTGTGAAGATATAGTCACTCCTCAAAGACAGGTATTATATGGGTGCATCCATTGGTAGCCACCTTTGGCCACAGACTCCTCTCCACCCCCATTCTTCTTAAAGTCACTGAATGGATATTGGCTTCATGTTTTGAGTGAATTTACACACAGCTTGATAAAATGTGATTAAAGTGACGTCCAGAGTATATTCTGAGCCTTGGTTTGGAATGAGGGGTAACACTGGAGAGTGACAAATGGATCCAGGCCAGTGAACGAGGTAACAGGGTTACAATGTGTCTGGAGGTGTGACTCTTTCTAAATGTCCTCATTAAGACAACTTTGCAGTCCTCAGTTACGGCTCCCACTTTCTGGCCTTCTGTTAGCATTGGGAAGCCATTTCCTTTTCCTCGATTCCCAGGGAAGCATTTAGGTGTACACCAAATAAGTGTGAGTTCCCGGGAGAAGCCCACTCTCTCTGCTGGAAGCAGCCCCAGACCAGTGCGGAGCCATCGCGTTCAGAAAGCATCATGCCCTCAGGTTCTTGGTCGTGATTCTGCTTGCGGATGTGACCCAACAGATGCAGGGGGGATGTCGAAAAGGTCTTTGAGAACAGAAAACCGCCACTTCTAAAAGTTCATAACAAACCAATTTTTAAAGGGTGAGCCAAGTTCAGGGTTTGTCGTCGGCAAAACAAGCATTAGAGCCACACGTGCTAACGTCCTCCTCCAGCCTCAGCTCCCACAAACCGCGTGGACGCAACATCGGTAAGTTTCACAACAGTGACCTTACTTTGCATAAGGTGATGTTTGTCTAATGAATGGGGAATAGAGGGGCAGGGGAGGGTAGAAGGGGGCGTTGCAGGGCGAAAGGCACATTGAGGAAAATACATCTCGTTTGACTCTTTGTCGGCCATAACATGGCGGGATGAACTTATCAGGACATGGAAAAGAGGAAATAATTGTATTATTATTTTTTGAGAAAGGGTTTGTGTCCTCCCAAATGAACCTAGGTATGAAAGCTAACTCTTTTAAAGCAAGTATTATATGAGTCATCATTAGCGCGTGCTCACCTTTCCTTGGTCACAGAGGTCAGTGACACCTGACCTAAGTGATCCCTGTAACCAAAAGTTCCTTCCTACCAGCACCCTTTGTCCCTCCACAAACACGCCCAACATGCCTGCACTGGACCACAGCTCAAAGCCGTTTCACCAGGAAGAGAAGGCAAGGGTTCTTTTTCTGGTCACGTTTCCATGATCTCCCCATTCCTCGTCATTTGTCCTCTGGGTAAGTGGTAAGTAAAATCTCTTAGGACAAGGAGAGGAAAGACACATGCCAAGTCTTTACCACAGGGAGGAAACAAACACGTTTGTAAGTCCCCGGAATCGAAGCATGAGGAAGTTAGTCATTTCTTCTGAAAATAGAAATTCACATTATAAAATGTAAATTAAGATGTGACAGAGACGAAAAAGGCCACGATGATGAAAATGATGGATTTATTTTGTGTGCGCAAAGAGGAAGTTGGAAGATAAAATTCTTAAGTCTAGGAGGGCTGTAGCTAAAATGGGACACAGGGCAAGCTTTTCAGTCCTGAAGGAGATGGAGAGGGGAAACCTGAACTCGCTCACTAAGACCTGGTGTATCCGGGCTAGGAGCAGCTTTTGAAAGCCAGAAAGAGGGCACATTTAGAACAAATGAGGGGGAAACTAGAGGTCAGCTAGTAAGAATTGTTGCAAGCAAAACAAAACAAAACCAACATGTGGTTATCTTCCCAAAGTGACTGATTATTTCAGTAATTCCCCCACCACAGGGCGTTTAAAGGGAAATCAAGATTAAGGAGTCAATGGAATGAATATTTATGGAGTACCCCCCCCATGCTCACAGCATTATCCTGGATTATCAGGGTTCACCAGAGAACAACACAGGCAGACACAGCCCTGCTGTCAGGAGACTTAGGTTCTAGTGGGAGGAGAAGGATAATAGGCAACTAAATAACATGCAAGAAAATGTAATTTCTAGGCAGGAAATTAATTCCTTTTGGCAGGGTGATGTGACAGCATGACTGGGCAGCTAAGTTGGACGGGTGGTGAAGGGGGGCTTCTCTATGGAGGGGACGGTGAAGCTGAGAACTGAAGAGGAGTGAGCCTTGCAAAAATGAGAGCGCCTCAGTCTAGATGAGGGAATAGCTGGTGCAAAGGCCCTGCGGGGACAATGAGCTTGAAGCTTTAGACACTGAGAGGGTAAGTGTGTCTGGGAGAAGGCAGGGAGAAAACACCACCCAGCAGACTGAGAGCCATTACCACATATTCGGACCAAATTCAGAGCTGGAGAGACTCAGAAACAACTTGAAAGTTCTTTTCAGATGGGGGAAATGAGAAGAGAGAGAGAATGTGAGAATGAGAGTGAGAGATTGATTTAAAGGGACTTGGCCCGTTGATTGTGATTATAGCTGGTAAGTCCAAAACTCCATAGGTCAGGCTGGCTGGTTGGAAAGTCAGGCAGGACTTGTATGTTACAGTCTTGAGGGAGAATTCCTGTTTTTTCCAGGAACCCTCAGTTCTTGCTCTGAAGGCCTTCAACTGATTGGATGAGGCCCACCCACATTTTGGAGGGTAATCTCCTTTACGTAAAGTCAACTGACTGTAAATGTTAACCCCATCTGCAGAATACCCCCATGGCAACATCCAGACTAGTGTTTGGCCAAAGACCTGGGTACCAGAGCCTGGCCAGGTGAACCCATAAAATCACCCATCACAGAGGGTCCTTCTAAGGCACCTCATGGTGGAAAGCAGAATCATTTGGGACGTTTATGTGTTTGAGTTCAGAGGCAAATCATTTAGTCTTCTCTTTTCAGGCATGTCAGTACTCTGAAGCTTGGCCAAAATCATACCATCCCAAGCAAACAATAACAGGATGGAAAACTGCAGAGGCTGGGGGCTCCCTCCCTTTATGCAACCTTGAAACGCTACAGAAATAAAAGGAACGTGCCTGTGAGAAACCGAGGGAGGTGAGGCCCATTGGGCTGGCGGTGAGGCGAGGGTACCCAGTGGGGAAGGACCCTGTCCTGTGCTCCTCTGCCCAGGCTGCATCGCCCCTCAATCACTGTCCACCCTCCTCCCCAGCCCAGCCCAGCCCCGTAGGGGTCACTGTTAGCCCTCAGAGGACACCTGCATCCCACTAGTTGGAGGGAAAACACCAGAAGTTCAGGACACTTCACCAGTCCTGAGGTCCCTACTTCAAGCCACAGGCTGCTGCAGCCAAGGGGCAGAAACATGCCAGCAAAGCCTGATCATAGAGGTTGTTTGAGGGGCAAGAATGAGGGACCTGCTGCACACTGTCACCTGTGGGATCGCTGCTCAGGAGCAGGCCTCCTCCCTGCCTTAAGCTCACCAGCAGCTTCTCCCATCTTGCCAGTAAGTCACAGCCACCACTTCCAGGGAAGTGAGCTCATGGTGGGGGAGGGACGCTGCTATCTCAAATCTGGACTGACTACAGGTGACTTCCCGCATAGCTTGACTTCTGCTTTGTGGATGGAATATCAGACATCAATTGTGAAGCGATTACTTTTCACTGGTGTTAAGTGGAACCGGCAGAGCCTTCTGCAAAAGTGGTATTTCTGACACTGGGCCGGAGAGCAGGTGACGCCTATGTTTACTTCATCGTAAAGGAAAGGTTCTTGGTTAAATCACGGTCTTGCTGGAAGCCTGCCTTGGGCGTTGTCAAAAATACAGGAAGCTTCTGTGATATATCACTGAAGGATCAGGTTATAAGTCCTCTAAATAAAATTTACAGAGCTCATTGGCTTTTATTCCACGCAGTCACCATGGTATTCCCGTTAAATCACTCCAAGTGTAGCAGATGTATTGATTACTGCCAGACCTGTCATTACGAATTCCAGTTTAAGCACTGCAGGAGCGAACTCTAACATTTAATTGGTATCCTCGTCTGGTGTTATAAAATATAAGCCCGGGACATATGGGAAAGAAAAATGAGTCAGTGTGAATCATCTTTAAAAACACACAACCAGCCAAGAGAGCAAAGCAGATAGCTGACTTTCTTCTGAATCAAACTCGCTTGCCTTGACGCGTGCACTGTATTTATTATGTGATTGATTTGGAGGGAAGCACATATTGATCCTTCTCAAGAAGACAACTATTTTCTGGAACAATTGAGGAAAAGAAACCAACAGCAGCCATTGGGTCACATGACGAGTTTCCTGGAAATGTGGTTTGCCGCACTGGCCATGTCCAGACGTAATCACTAACAAGCTCCAAAGGATGTCTCTTGAAAAAACAGCTGTCACCTATGCCACCCACTCATAGATAACGGAGAGCTCTCTAGGTGAGACTACCACTCATCAATTCCCAGTATGGGGGACCCAACATTTGGGGGTGCGAAACATCTCAGGCCATTAGTGCACAAGGGCAGCACCGTGCCTGGTGGATCAAACACTAGCCCACAAAAGAGAAGGGCTTTAGGGGAGACATGGAGACAGGTGCTGGTCTGGGCATTGCGGGACGAGCTGGATTCACCTTTAATGGGGAGCTGCATTCAGTGGGAAAAGATTCATTAACTATTGGGCTGTCGGAAAAGTCATGACGCATTTTTGCAACGAAAAACATAGTAAAGATACGTCATGACTTTTCCGACAACCCAATAGCATAAGCAGACTCAAGGGAATTCTCTCCCAGGAAGGCAAGTGAAGAAAGGCAGCTGGAAAGATAGTGACGCTTTAGTGAAGCGGGCCGGGTAGCTCAGCAAGTGCTGGATACTGCTGGGACCCAGTGTTGAGGAAGAGCTTGTACAGTGACCCACGGGGGCCTTTGGACTATTCTAATACAAATGGAGGGAAAGTAGCCGTGGGTCAATGACCACCCCCATCCTGGAAGACACTGACGCTCAAGAGCACGTTTATGGGAATCCTATGGACCTCCAAACCCATGGAAGTCCTGTAGTGGCACTTAGAATTTACAAAAGGCACGTCCCTGCCCTCACCCCCAGCACAGATCAGGATAAGACATATCCTCTAGTACAGTGGGTCGCATAGCAACTATTCTAACACCGCCCATGTCCTGACCTTGGTAGGGAGGTGGGTCCATCCCCCAGAGGAAACCAGTCTCAGTACAAATCTGTGGGCTGAGGCGGGGGTGACTGGCTGTGTCCCCAGCTGACTGGGAACCCAGAAATAACTGAGTTGTGGCCAGTTGCAATGACACTTGTCTACAATAAGATCTGACATATGGGTGTATTAGTTTCCTAGGGCTGCTGTGACAAATGACTGCACACGTGGATGTCGTAAAACAGCAGAAAATTGTTCTGCATAACTCGAACGTCTGCCTGTGTCGTCACATCCATCTTTACACGGCTTTCTTCTCTGTGTCTCTTCTTTCTTATAAGGACACCAGCCATATTGGATTAGGCTCACTCTACCCCAGGATGACGTCACCTTGCCTAATTTCATCCGCAATGATCTCATTTCCAAAGAACGTCACATCATAAGTACCAGGAGTTAAAATTTTAATGTACCTTTTTGGGGAACACAATTCAGCCTTGAGGAGTCACCATCACACATACTCTTCCTTGATCAGCGTTTTCTCACTTAACAATAGAACATGGTCACATTTCACATCACTAATTAGTTTCTATCATTCTGATGGCTGCATGGTGTTCTGGCTGTACCCACTTGTACTTGATCATCTACCTATTTTGCTATTTTACTTTATTGTTGGACATTTAGATAGTATCTGAATTTTCCCTATTGAAATATTGCTGCAAAGAACATACTTATCAATAGATATTGTGTTTATCCATCATTACTTTATGATAAAGTCCTAGAAGTGGGATGCTCCAACAACTGGTACGTACGAGCGTATTTATTTGATTCACGTTGCCAGAGGGTCCTCCCAAAGATTTTACCAGTTTACACTCTTCATACCCTAATCAACTCTGAGCATTTGCATTTTTCTGTTTCTGCCAAATTACGAGGTGGGAAATGCTATCTGAATATTAATCTAATTTGCTTTCATTTGCATTTCATTGATTACTAATGAGGGTAAATAGCTTTTCAGATGTTATTAGTCCTTTGAGGACTCCCTGTGGGAATAAGATTGCTTCTGAGGCTCTTGGTAATTTTTTGTTTTTCAATTTGCACCAATTCACACTCCCACTGGCAGCCTTTGAGGATGCCTGGCTGATTTCAGAAAAGAGATGTGTCAATGTGAGATGGACCCACTGGGGAAAATCCAGCAGAGGAGGCCCCTTGGGCTGGGCAGGGTCTGAATAGAAGGGCATTTTCGTCAGGGAAAGTCTCATGTCATAAGAGTGAGATGTGTTTTTGAACCTGAGGATAAAGCAGCTAGGCGGGAGCCAGGGTAGTTGGGTGGGGCTCAGCAGAAAAGATGGTGGTGAGTTAAGGTGAGGAGACTTGAATTAAAGCCAGACTGCTTATTATCCTGTGGGCAAGAAGCCGTGACAGATTCTTAAGCAAGGGGGTGATTTACAGCTGTTGGCTTTCTTGCTTGATCAAATATTTAAATTCTCAACATTCATGGTGTTGCTAAATAGCCTGTTCTAATTTTCAAGTCTATCTTCTGCCCTCCCAATCTCCCAACCCCTCATCTGTTCCATTCTGCTCCACAAGCATGCCTCAGTATTTCCCAGTATCTACACCCCAACACTACCAGCACATGTACTGCACACACACACACATACTCACTCACACACACTCATACACACGCACATACATAGCCCCACCCCAGACCCCTTTGCCATCTGATGGTTCCCTCTGGCTGGAATCCCCTTGTTCCTCTCCTTTACCTGACAATTTCTTACCAAATCTTTAGGACCACAGCTTTTATTTTATTTTATTTTATTTTATTTTATTTTATTTAAAGATTTTATTGGGGAATTGGGGGAGGGGAACAGGCTTGGGGAATCGGGGAAGGGGAACAGACAAGTTGCTGTCCTTTTGTTCTTCAGTCTAGTTGTGGAGGACGTCGCTTCACTGGCCCATGTTGGCATCATCATTGCACTCTTCCCGGGTGAGGCAGTCGCTCCCCGGCCATTGGACAGCTGCTGACGGCGGCTCATGCAACTCATGAAAGTGCATGCCAGCTGCCAACCAGCCCCACTGCCGCCTACGCCGTCACCGGCCACTCACGGCAGCCCAGCTCCAGGTTGAGCTGTTGTTCAGCATCTTAGCTGTGGAGGGCAGTGTCACTGGCCCTCATATGTGGGATCCGAACCGGGGGGCTCTGGCGTCCCGTGACTGGTCTTAATGACACTGAATTGTGCACTTAAAAAATGGTTAAAATGGCAAATTTTTATGTATATATATATATATATAGGCCACAATAAAAAATATTTCCTTGTGGTCTCCACTGTGGAGGACGGACTGGGAACTGTTTTCTAGAGAAACACCTTTCTTGGACGACAAGGTTTCCTTCTCCGTCCACAAATCCAGTTCCCGTAACAGGCACCAGGGCGTCCCAGTTCTAGAGAGTTCCCCGTGACCCCCTTGAATGGCTGAGGCCGGCTTCCTGCCGGGCAGTCCCGCTCAGAAATGAGCCGCAAGGGCCTGCACCTGCCTCCCGCCCCTGACGCCGGCGCGGCGGGGCCCAGGTGGTGCCGGTTCTCACGCGCACGTGCGCTCCCCGGGCCGCGGCCGGCCCAGCCCGGGACGGGCTTGCGCAGGAGTTGGGAGCAGCCCGCTCTGGGCTGCGAGGAAAGGCAGCAGACACCCAGGATGTGCTTTTAACCCCGTCAGTTGGCGTCCTGGCTCCGGTGCGCCGTTGAGGGAGGTTTCCTTCGGAAAGGTGAGCGCACCCCCTCCCCTCCAGCCCTAATCTGTGGTGGTAACTTCTCCGCAACTGCCGTTTCTCAAGCGCAACATCGCAGGGCCAACAAGGAAGCCCATCCGAAGAGATGGCCTGGTTAGAGGTCTTTCTCTAGGCTTCTGTTTTTTTCTTGTGAGGCTACAGGGGACCGAAGGCTTTTCACGTGTTTCTGAAAATCCAGGAAAGGCAGAGTGCCAGGTGGTTTGCGTGGCGAGAGGTTGTGTGTTCGGTTGATAGGAATCAAGTGCTGGGAGAAACGGCCTCAGGCAGGTTAGGAAGCTCCCAGGTGGCAGGTCTGGTGCCCGGGTTCCTGCCCACGCTGCCCCTCAGGAGCCCTGTGGCCTCCTGTGACCCCTGTACCCAAAATCCCCGCGCTGCAAGGTACTTCTAATATCACTTCCGGCTCTCCAACGCGGCAGTGACAGTCTACGAAATTTGTACCGAACAGAAATAGAAAAATTACAGCTATGTGGCCAAGTCCCATTTTATAGGTTTATGGACCTGTCACTCAAAGCTGCTTTGTCCTAAATCGCTTGCTAGGGGCGTGTACCGCCTTCAGACAGCCCCGTCCTGGCTGCAAAGCTCAGGGGCTCGACTTGAGGGCCAGTTAGGACCCTGGGTGGCCACATTTCCCTTTTTATCAAAATGCTATTGCAAAAATAAATATGTAGAGAGAACGTTCTCTTGATAGACTGGCCGTGAGTAATTCTGGCTTCATTTCATTCTCATCTCATCCTCAAATGTTGTTTGTGGTGCTAGCTGCAGACACTGCCTGAATACCTCCTAGAAACGGCACCTTTCCCAGGATGGCAGAGGAGTTTTAACCTTCGGGCTCGCTTTCCTTTTGGGGCAGAGCTAAGGTCCCCTCGAGGGAAGGTCAGGATTCATCACTGGGGGAAATGTGAGTCGCACACAAACTACACAATGTCTTTGGAACAGAGACACTGGTTCCTCCGAAGTCCCCAGCAGGCAAGTTAATGAGGGGAAGGACTAACCTTTGTGGGCAAACAGAGCACCTGTGATATTGCGATTTATAAGGAACATATATTTGAGCAAACAGTAATACCTTGGTTTGCGAGCATAATTCGTTCCGGAAACAAACTACTTCGTATTGCAAGACATCGCTCGTTTACCACATTAAAATGTATTAGAAATGTTTGCTCGTCTTGCGGAACACTCGCAAACCAAGTTACGCACAATTCAAGGTTTTACTGTATGTATTTCTCACACTTATTTGGTCCTCGTCCACTGTTCCTGGCTCACAGCTACTAATTTCCTGAGCGATAAGAGGAATATATTTGGTTATAATAATTGGTTTCTGGTCTTCAGTTTCTGAAATGGCTTCAGTCCCATAAAGGTGAGATGGTTGTCTTGTTATTCAGAATGAACGCCTTTGCATCACAACTGGGTTTAGGTTAAGAGGTGACTTCGGGAGAGCACCTAAGGATGGGGGTTGGTTGCTGGGGGAACCAAGCACATGATGTGGGCGGGAACTTTCAGTCCGACCTCTCCCCCTCCCAGAACGGGCAGGGGCTGGTGGCTGTCTCTGTGACAAAGCCTCCATAAAACCCAAAAGGACAGGGTTCAGAGAGCTTCCGGGCTGAGCCCGTGGAGATTTGGGGAGAGCAGTGAGCTTGGAGAGGACAAGGAAGCGCCACACCCCTTCCCTATACCGTGTCCTGTGCACCTCCTCCACCCGGCTGGTCCTAAGACATATCCCTTCATAATAAACTGGTGGTCTAGCAAGTTCCCTGTTTTTCAGAGTTTGGTGAGCCACTCTAACACATTAAACCCAAGGAGAGGGTCATTGGAACCTCCAATCTACAGCCGGGGTTGGTCAGAAGCACAGGTAACAACCTGGACTTGTGACTGGTGTCTGAAGCGAGGACGGGCAGTCTGGTGGGACTGAACCCGTCACCTGTGGGGTCTGATGCTGTCTCCGAGTCGATAGTGTGAGAATTGAGTTGAATTGTAGGACACCCAGCTGGTGTCTGAGAATTGCCTATTGGTGGTGTGGGGGGAGAAGGGGGAACCACCCCACCCCACCCCCGACTCCACAGATTGGACCTGGGTCCACAAACCACAAAGTATTATACCTTGAGTGAAATTGCCGGAATGTGATGGGCCTTCTCCACCCATCAACATGCAGGAGAGAGAGGGTGCCCTCATATTCCTTCCAGTAACGTTAGTGACAGGGCTTCCATTTTAAATGCCTTTGGCAATGGGGAAGGTTCATTTTCATGGTTTGCCGTGGACTGGAGCCCACCACAAAGACAGTGGATGTGGTCAGCATGGCGGGCTTTGCTGGGGCTGGCAAAAAAAAAAAAAAAATTAGGTCCTGTCCCACGTGCTTCACCCAAAACTGAAGAGGGGATGTCATCATCAGAAAACCCATGACCCACTGCGTCACGTGTCAGGGACTGAGGGAAAGGGCAAGCAAGGATAGACCCAAAGGGACTGAGCGGCCAGGACAGCGAGCTCAGCAGCCACGTCGCTTTGTCCCAAAGAACATGAGCATTTGGGTGCAGAGGTTTGAATCTGCACTGGTCACAGACTCGGGTGTGCGAGAAGTATAGTCGAGCCTAATTTCTATCAGGAGCCCTGCATGCTGCCTGGGAGCAGAAAACGTGTCACTTTCTGGTAAATTTGGTCAGTTCAGATTTATACTCACGTTAAGGGTTCCTGCTTCTCAATGTGGAGCCTAAATTCCAGGCTTGCTTTCGTGGCATCCTCTGTTTGTTGCTGGCCTCTGCTGGTGATAGAAGGTATCCCACCAGGTCCCAGTCAGCCTGTCACCAAGCCAGCTTAGTGGGAAGAAACCCTGTTCTCATCAGATCCCAAACTGGACAGTATCCCCTCATCCTGCCACCACAGTCCCTTGGGTCCTCTGACCCCGTAGTTCCCCATGTGCCCAAACTCATGGCACAAGAAAGACTTAACTGTTCTCCTATGCTTGGTCTCTCTGAGTCTTCCAGGCAAGGGAATGGCAAGTGCAAAGGCCCTGGGGCAGAAGCGAGCATATTTGGGGAAACGGGGGTAACTGGAGAAGTGAGCAAGGAAGGGGCCAAGTCATGCAGGGCCTCTTGGTGCCATGGTGACAATTTTGTATAAATGTTTGCAGAAAGCCATTGGAGGATGTTGAACAAGGGAGTGACATGAACATATTTACCTTTCCTAGTGGGACCGAAGTAGATGAAATGACTCTAATTAGAGGGCTATTCCAGTAGCTGAAGCGAGAGATGATGGTTGCCTGAAATAAAGTGTTAACTGTAGAAGTGATCGGACACAGGATATATTTTGTTGGTAGAGACAGCAGGACTTGCTGTTGGGCTGGATACAAAGTGTGGAAATAAGCAGAAGGATCTAAGATGAATCCTGGGTTTCACAGTGGTGTCATGGGTTGGGATGGGCTAGACTGAGGGCAAGGAGGGATGGGGACCCGGAGGTCCACTGACCTTCAGAAGTGTGAGATGCGGGCCGGCGGAGTGGCGCGATGGTTAAGAACTGGCTTGGGACGCCAGAGGGCCCTCGTTCGGATCCCACATATGAGGGCCAGTGACAGTGCCCTCCACAGCTAAGATGCTGAACAACAGCTCAACCTGGAGCTGGGCTGCCATGAGTCGCCGGGGGCAGCGTAGGCTGCAGCCCCTGTGGCAGTGGGTTGCCATGGGCTACCGTGTGTAGCCAGCAGCCAGCGTGAGCGGCCAGCAGCCGCAGTGAGCGGCCGTCCAGAAGCCGGCGACTGATCTGCCTCCCCCGGGAAGAGCGCAATGATGGTGCCAACTTGGGCCAGTGAAGCAACATCCTCCACAACTAGACTGAAGACCAAAAGGACAGCAACTTGTCTGTTCCCCTACCCCAATTCCCCAACGGTGTTCCCATCCCCCAATTCCCCAATAAAATCTTTTTTTTTAAAAAAAGTGCCTAGTAGGTAGCAATGGTCCCATATATACAGTAAAACCTTAGATGCGAGTAACGTGGTTTGCGAGTGTTCCGCAAGACAGGCAAACATTTCTAATTTTAACGTGGTAAACAAGCCATGTCTTGCAATATGAGTAGTTTCTGGAAAAAATTATGCTCGCAAACCAAGGTATTACTATATTAGTGATTATGTTTATTAAAATAAACTTTTAGAGCTCGTAAGAGAGGAATGGCAGCTCAAAGAAAAGGATGTTGTCTTTTGGTGGGGTTATCAGGAAAAGTTTCATGGGAAACAATATATATATTTATAAGGGATCCTTGAAGGCTTGGTAGGATTTAGCCCGGCAAATACGAGGAAATGCTGAACTGCGGAAGTGATGACGTGGGCGGGAGGCAGTGAAGTTGGAGAGGCGAGGGCAGCGTATTGTTCCCACATGGGGCTTCTGAATTCTCAAAGTGATCCTTACGTAAGTGAAAAAAGCAGACAGCCGTTGAGTGTCTATCATGTTCCAGGCATGTGCTAAGGTCTCAAGGCACCGTCTCATTTGACCCTCACAGCCCCCATATTAGCAAACACCCCACTGCTCCCACTTTAGAGACAAGGGGTCTGAAGCACTGTTTCCCGAGGTCACACTTCTGACAAGTCGGGGAGCCAGAATTTGAACCCAGTTCTGACTGGCGGAGCCCACATGTTTAAAAGGAACCCACAGGACGGCTGGTGAGAAAGACCAGTCACGGGATAAGTCACATCTACACAGATACACATTGAGCAAAATGCACAAGACAGCGTGGGACCCATAGCCCAGCAAGGCCAGGGGCAAACCCATGGCAGCGTGGGGAGAAGCACTGCAGGAGAGAAGCAAAAGCAAAGCCACCACCATTGCCAGGAGCAGCCCTCCTTGGCCCACACCCCCCAAAACCAGGGAAACGCACCTTTCCTGCACATCCAGTGTTGTTAGCTCCCACTGGGTAAATTGAATTGATTCTGAAACTACCAGTGTAATTATTGTGCTCTCAGAGCGACGTAACTTACCTGACCACCTCACCTCTCGTTGTAG